TTTAGCTTTATCAGTTAAGTCCACTTTTGTTTAACCCTTCTTGGTCATTCCAGCTTTATTATTTGATGTTGCTTATTATGGTTAGATTTGTCTTATTCTTGTTTTCCTTTATCCCAGCCTCTTGTAGTGTTTTAGTTGTGTTCACTTCTTACTTTTACCCTCGGCCTAGTCAGAGTTAGTTCCTGTTCTTGGTTATCAGTTTTCTTAAGTCGAAGTTATTCTTTAGTGTTGGTATTATTTCCTGTTCCCCTGTACCACTTTCTCTCTCTCTCCTCCTCAGCCTGGATCCAGCTCTAAGAATCTATGAAGCTCCTCCAGACGATCTGTTAGCATGTGTTTAGGCTGCTTCTCTGATAAATGCTATCCCTGCCTGATCTGGTAGTTTAGGTACCTATGTTAGAACATGGGGAATTATATTTATTGATTGATCAAATGATTGACTGATTTAGCTCCACAATGTACTCTTTGCATAAAGTTTAAAATGTCAGCCTGTGCAGAGTAGTCATGGGTCTGGATAGTAATCTGTCAAAATGACAGCTTTCATATTTTACTGTTTTGTCACTGTTTAAAAAGCAATCAGATGGTGAACATGAAGCCTTGTCTTAACATACTTCCTCAGGTTTGTGGGACAAATCTTTATCAGGATACAAGAAACATGTCAGCAGTTGGGCATGTCTGTCAAAGATATGCAAAGTGAAAACAAATGGAGCCCTTTCACCATAGGAACGATCAACTTCAGATGCAAATACAGGAATAAGGGAAATTTTTTTAAGGTAACCCAACAAGATAGACAAAGTATAAGGCATATTGGATGCTGTTGACAACATGGTGTCAGCTGAGGCTCCTGATACGGAGAGGTGAACATGGTTATAGATAAAAACTATTGACCTCAACATTTACAAACGACTCACCTCTCTGGAGCCAGAGGTTCATCCATTTCTGACTGTTCAGGTGAATAGCTGAATCCTGGTTTGTGTTCTTCTCTGTAATTAGAAATGTGAATGCTGGGGTTTGTCAAGCACAGTAATATGAGAGGTGTCTGAACAAGAGACCACTGCAAAATTATGAGTTCTCTGACTTTGCTTTTTATAAGCTTATGTCTGAGTTAAATGAACATTGTTCTTTTATTCTACTGACGAAATGTTGCCGAAATTCCCAGCAAAAATTTTGTATTTATTTCCAGAAAATGAGAAATGGTCAAAATCACAAAAAGCTGCAGTGTTTTCAGACCTCAAATAATGCAAAGAAAACAAGTTCATATTCATTTAGAAACAACAATACTAATGTTTTAACTCAGGAAGAGTTCAGAGATCATTTGGTGGAACAACTATGAGGTTAGTTGACGAGGAAAATATGTTGCGAATACAACTTCACATGTGCGTATAGAAAAATGGGTGGCATTTTTTTCCTGCTTTTGATTTTAGTCAAATTTATAAAACATAGCTACAGAAAGCATGTTTCAAATATTGATTTTAAATTTTTAAGGCAAAGAAAGATAGTAAAACCAACCTGTGTTGGAACATAATCATGAATCAACTGTAGTTCTGTTTTACTAAACATACCCAGATCTGATTACTGACTAGCCTGTTGAATTAATAAATCACCAAAGCAGAATCAGAAACTGTCTGATAAAAAATGCAAATTTTTCTGTCATGGGCTAATACTTTTCATGCTTCTGTATATGTTGGAATCATATTTTAGACAGAATATTTAGACATAGCTCACCTCTTTGTAGGTGAAGATTGGTTCGATTTAAAATCATTAAGTTCATCCTTCGACCTGGTCTCCCAGTTCAGTTCATCTTCAGATTGTTCGCTGTAAGAAAAAAAAAGTTATTTAAGCAATGCTTTGGTCAGATTGAGTAAAGACTCAAACACAATAACAGGTGGTCATCTCACCTCTGAGCTTTGCTCTGTTTGTCAGTTTGAGGCAGAGTTTCTCCTTCTTGCAGTTCCTCACTCTGATCCATGATACTGAGCTCAAATCCACATCAGTCTGCACACAGTGTTTATATAACAGCAGAGGTGACGCAAATTGCTCACCTGCACTGCAGCTCTAAAAGTTTTTTTTTTTTTTTTTTTACATTGTTTATTCAATAAAATCATCAGCTAACACAGAGTTGCCAGTCACCAAGGAAGCAGATAGCGATCTTGGAAAAAAAAGCAGAAACTATCCTCGTACTTCCCGCTAAATATTTAAAAACATGTCGTGCACTTCCCTGATTTTGAAACTTGAAAGGACGTTTTACCCTACATATCTATGCATATGCTTTTGTTTTTGTTTTTTATATTAATTAAATTAATAAAAAAAACACAAAAGTTGTTTTAGTCAAAATAACAAATTTTGACTAAAATGTAATTAATTTTAGTCAAAATTAATTAAATATGACTAAATTTAATCAGGTGGTGTGTGAAAATCAGGTGGTGTGGCACTACCTGATTATCAGGAGTCATTGGCTCTAAACATTCAGAATGTCATGCACTGTTCTGTATTTCAGAATAACAGGTGATTTCTCGCATGAGCTCTTCTGAACAATACACACTGTTTACATACACAGAATAAACTAAACAAATGCTATCCCAAGCAAAACATTTTTTAAAAAATTGCTATCCCAAGCAAAACATTTTTTTTAAAATTACTCTACAGTCAATAGATGAAGCCAATAAATCCTAAAGAACAACCAACATGCAACTAAACTACTAAGCAAAAGGAAAAAAGAAAAAGTAAACTGATAAATGAACCAACGAATTCTGATTTAAAAAACATCAGAATTAATGAGGAACAACTACGAAACTAATCAATGAATAATAATAAAACATTAGAAAAGTGCATTGAAAAGTATTCACAGCACTTCACTTTTTCTACATTTTATGTTACAGGCTTATTCCAAATTGATTTGTCTTTTGTAATAGCTGCTTTTATTCTAAACACTTCTCCTGCCTTGTCTGCTGGTGGTTATAACAGGACATGGAAGCTCTTAATTTATTCAACTTTATTTCTAACACTTTTGAAATGGGAAGAATTGTATCCTAAATAAGACTAAAGAGACCTGGGAGATAAATACAGATGAAGTTGAGGCATGTATTTTCTCGTTAAGTGCTCCAACTAGTTTTTCTCTTTCAGTTTTAAGGTCTGTGCAGTCGTTTCTGTCCTACTTGAAGCAGTCAGAAAAAAATCATAATTAAATCTCACCTTTAATTGTCTGCTTAGTTTACTAGATCCAAATAATTAAACTAAAGATGATTCCAAAAGAATCTACCAGTATAAATCATGTCAGGCATCAAACAAGTTATTTTCTTACCTTAAACTTTTCTGCGCCACAACGAAATGAAATGTAAAACCTAAACACTTTGATAAGGAAGTAGAGCCGGGGCGGTGACCGTCTACCTGCCGTCAGCAGCTGATGCTCAGGGCGGAGCTTCATCATGGTACTGATTATTGTTTCTAACTGGACTGGAACCTGAAGAAAAAGGTTGGTACAGAGAAGGTTAATGATGCCCTCCGTTAAATGTAACAGATGAAAATGTGCAACACCAACTTCTGTGACTATCTGGTAGGACAGAGCAGGATACGGTCAGAACAGGAGTGCAGCTTCAGGGCAAAATTCAGTTACTTTGTTGCAACTTCTAGACACAGAAGTCTGATTAAAATCACATAGAATTAGGAGTATTAACGACCAGGCTGTGTAAAAATCTTAACTTTGATTATTTTAGTTTTTAAGCAGTCATATAAAAAACAAAAGTGTGTATTCTGCTATGACTCCTTAGGATGCGTAAATATCTTTTCCCCACATTATGTAAATGAAATATCTTTATCACTGCCATAACAAGTGGGATCTGCTGACACTGATGTTTTTTTTTTTCTGCTGTTGACATTGTAAAAACATATAAACAAGTACACAGAAGTAGATAGGTGATACATATTTAGGTTTTTATCGCAATATTTTGTGTTATTTAGTGCAATTGTAGTAAAAGTGAGTCATGTAATCAACATTTCAGCATATTGTAGTTATAAACAATTTTCTTCAGTTTATTGTAGAAACTGCATTAGGTGCTGTCATGGCCCCATTAAACAGAAGACAATTCAAATACATTTTTAATGTCATAAAAACAGTGCAAAAATGGATAAATTACTAAACCCATAACCTTAATTATAATCATCAGTTTAAATAATTATCATGAGCAGATGTAACAGAGAGAAAAATTCGTGTGTCTTTGTGAGTTTTGATCGTAATGATTATAGTAATGGTTGTATGTATTTTTGATCAATGCGTTTGTTTGGAGCCACCTAGTGGTGTGATGAGTGACTGCATGCAACGGGTCCGTCAGGCTCTCTCGCAGCTTCCCCCATCCAGAAGGGGGTTCATCCTTCGACCTGGTCTCCCAGTTCAGTTCAGTTCAGTTCAGTTCAGTTCAGGGGGACATGATTTATACTGGTACAGAAGGAGCGCTGGAGCGAGAGAGGCAGCTCTTCACTTCTTTTTTTACTTAGGGTCATATTTTTCTAGTTCAACAATTAATGAGATACTGTAAGAATATTTAACATCTATAAATATAATTTGTAAAGTTTCCTTATGGTTGGGCTGGAAAGATGTGACCCGAGTGGGAGCTGCGCCGGTTGGTGTTCGTGGCTGACCACTCAGTCACGGCGCTAACTGTGTCTTTTATTTTTCAGCCTGTCGGACCACTTGCCTGCGGTCAATCACATTGTGAGGAGTTTTTCATCTTTTGTTGTGCTAGGTGACCAACAACACAATAAGAAGAGTTACACATAATGATAGGTTTTATTTGCCCACTCCCATACAAAAGATACAGCTCATAGAAACAAATGTCATCTTTTTAATAAGTGTTTTAAATAAAATAAACAGAAATAAAACAACAGCTGAAAGCAGCCAACACCACTGCCAACCCCAACCCCCGAAACTTTTTATAAATATTACCAACCTGATCCACAAAATGGAAATGTTGACTTTTTCCAATACTTCTCCAGGAGGAAGGAGAGAAACTTTGGGAATTCCTCTATAGCCAAAGACTTGTAACAGTTAATTGTTGTGATTCTCTGCTACTCTGACTGACATGCACTGGATTTTTCTTTTTCTGGGACTCTAAACAGTGAAGTGTCTGTAAAATCATAATGGTGAACAGTGTGACTGTTTGTTGCTTGTCCTAGCTCTCGTTTGTCAGTTTGCTTGTTCATTTATGCATAAAAATACGTAAAAACAAAGTTTAAAAAGAAATTGAAAGGATCTCATGATCAGAATAATGTACAAGTTTTAATGTTTACAAGATATTAAGAACGATGGTTAACATAGAAATAAAGGTTAAAATAGTAAGTGACTATATAAGATTTAGACACTACTAAAAATGTATCTAGCCTCTTTTTAAAACTAAAAAAAATAAACCACAAAGAACAAGAAGAACCTGACGATTCTTCTTCTATTCCCTGAAAATCCTTTTTCAAAGTAGCTTCAGATCTTGTTGTAGCAACAATCTCCATGTGGAACAGAGCAACGAGCTGCAGAGAAACACACACATCTCCCCCAGGTTCCTACACCTATGGACCTTACCACAGGGTCCGCGTTTCATTGGCTAATGCCCATTTGACGTCACTGCGCAGCTACCACGTGCTTGACCGTCTCACAAACAAAAGCTACAGTAGTAAACACATGCTAATGTACATTGTGGACTAGCAGACCACAATCTACACAAAGTTTTAGCGACAGAACTCGAATAAGAATGGTTCCCCACTGTCAGTGGGGAATCTGTACAGGCGATGTCAGGTATCCTGATCGTATTTGTTGAAATAAAATTCACAGATTTCTCAAATCTGAAATGGAAAGCCTAGCTTGGATCAAAGCTTGTGCACGACCGCATTTGCAGCTCAACCGTAGTAAGATCAATAAGAACAAAGGAGTGTGTGCTGGTGTAAGTATTATTACTTTGCTTTCTTTGTGTTTAGTGAATGAAAAAAAGAGTCAGTAATAAACACATTCATTATGAAAACCTTTTAGCTAAGTACAGCATAATGGCAGTACCGATACAACTTCTACACCTTGAAGCCTGTCTGTTACACAGTCTTACATTAGCTGAACAGATCAATATGCAATTTGTACCGTATCTGACATGCATTAAAGATTTTATTTTACCTGAAAAGGCTTTTTACTAAACTGTAATCGTGTTAGCCACGCTAGCACCGAGTACCGAGTAACAGGCCTAGGCACACTCAAACATTTGCCAACAACAGAAATCACTGATTTCAAAAGTAACCCTCAAAACCATGAATGCCCGACTTTTTTTTTTTGTTAATGGAACCGAAACGCACTGAACACCTTGTTGAAACAATAATTACTGAGATTATTCATTTTAACACGTTTCGTTGATTTTTTATAATTATTCTTTTTTAATGAAGCTACAAACGTTTAGGATTTTAGTGAATATTTTTGATAAGCCAATCAGAAGAGGAAGAGCTGGTCTCAGCATCCTGGCGGCGATCAGTTTGTCACCTGCCAAGATCGACTCAAAACCTTTCCGCGATCAACCGGTTGATCGCAATCGACGTATTGGGCACCCATGATCTAGGGATGCATTTTTTTCATTGATATGACTTATCCTCTGAGGCGACTTATAGACTGGAAAATACATCATATTTATTGTGACAATTCAGTCAAGATGAACATTGATGATCACTAAAGCTTGCACTGCAAAAGCACAAAATCTTACCAAGTATTTTTGGTCTAGCTTCTGGTGAAAAGTGTAATATCTTAGTACACTTGAAATAAGATAAAGATATGGAAGTATTTTTTAAGTCAATAATTTCTTAACATTGATGAAAAAACTACTTGTTCCATTGGCAGATTGTTTCATTTATAACGTGGAAAGATATCTTCTTGTAAGTGAAATAATCTGCCAATGAAACACATACTTTTTCATCAATATTAAGGAATTTACTTAAAACAAACTCTTATTTCTTGCTGAAAAGTTACTTGTAAGTTAGTTTTGTCTTCTTAGACCAAAGTACTTGGCAATATCTTGTCTTTTTGCAATATGGACACCCAAGAACCTGTCCTGTACTCAAATCCAAATCCAGGATAAAGAGTTTCAGTGAAATTGGTGTTGAAGGTGTAGAGGTGGATCAGTGTCTCTGAAGAGACTCGGTAGAAGGACAGAGTCCCAGCAGGACAGTCCACATACACAGCCACTCGGCCAGAGACAGAAGAGAGAGGGATGAAGGCTTTTCTATGATTATGCCAAACAGTGTAACCATCATCTGAGCAAATTAGACTCCAGGACTGATCATTCAATCCAAACCAGGAATCGTCATTGTCTCCTTTTCTGTTGATTCCTCTGTAACTCAGCGATGCATAGACTTTCCCACTCCACTCAACCTCCCAGTAACAGCGACCAGTCAGACCATCAGTACACAGCAGCTGACAGAGATCAAATCTGTCTGGATGATCAGGATACGGCTGCTCCTCTCCCACAAGTGTCACTTTCCTGTTTCCGTCAGACAGTTTGAGCAATCTGTTCACAGTGTTTAGGTCGACTGTTAGTGGACAGGAATCTGAAAAACAGAACAAACACAATGCAGTTACTGATTGTTCTGAATTTACTGATACAATGATGAATGTCTATAAATGACACAATCTCTTATTAATTAAAAACACACTTACACTTCCTCAGACCTGGTGTCAGCCATTTCTCTGCTGCAGAATCCATGCTGTTAGAAAGAAGGTGTTTAAGACGATAGTACCATTTTTCAAGATGCAAACATGGACAGCCAAATTCAGACTTAAGAGTTTTTTGGGAGGTTTTCTTTTATCCATCACTGAGTTTCTGTCACCAATACCTAATTTTTTTTACTGATACTATCAGTTTAGTTCAGAACAGATGCCTGATTTTTCCTTCTAGTTTTGTGTTATGGCTGCTAAACCCAAGTGTTCAGATTTTTATTTTCAAATTAACATTCAATTAAATTCAGTTTATTTCTAGAGCGGCAATTCCTAACATGTCATCTCAAACCTATTGTGTACCATACCTATTATACACTATTACATGGTAATAAAAAAGATATTTCCCTACCTGAGAGAGTCCGTTTTAATCTGGATTCCTGAATTCTTAAGCATAGCTGCCAGTCTCTCCATTCCTGCCTCTCCTGGATTATTGTAGCTGAGGTCCAACTCCTTTAGGTGATGTGGCTTCACAGTCAGAGCTGAGGCAAGAGCAGCACAGCCTTCCTCTGTGATCAGGCAGCCTGAAAGCCTGCAGACACACAATATATTGTTGGACAAAAGCCATTTTGTTCAACAACAAAAGGCTTTGTTGTTTTACAGGTATGCTTCTCAATAGCATGCCTGTCAAATCTCCTGGCTTGGAAACTACTCTCATGATAATGCATGAGATTATGCATTATCATGGGCATGCAGATAATCTCATGCATGCCCATGCATAACTCTAATAAGTAAGAAAAATCTAATTTCTATTACTATGCTCACAATTATCTAATTGTGTGAATTTTTTTTCTAGGCTATATTGATTTGATTGACTAGTTGAACACTTAAATTTAGTAGTGAGGCTGTCTTCATTGCAACTCCCACTACAGCTAAGTCAGACAACTCAGCAAAGTTTGTGTTCAAAAGATGCACAAAATAGTTCACAAGAGCAAACTGAAAACATGTTTTAGACATTTTTGTAAATTTACTAAATATGTAAATGTAGGACAGTGCAGTAATATATGTCGGCACATGTCACCAAAATGTCACCAAAATGTTAGATCTGTTCTTTGGGTTGTGGAAGTTAGCGTAGTGTGTCCGTTGAAGAACGCCGTACTTGGTGTCTGTTACTGCGCTGGCGGTACAACGGTCAGTATTTGCTGTTAATTCTGAAGGTAAGAAATACTGACCGCCAGTTCCTCACTGTAGCCAAATGTTACGTTTAATGTCCAAGTAGTTAATTTTGTATCATTTTGTCTTTTTCTTTTTTAATATATGCTGTATCTGTAAACAAAAGAAAATAACTGCGTTAATGAGACTTATGTTGACAAGCAGTATTTGCTGTGAATTCTGAAGGCGAAGCCGCTGCGCTGTCGGGTGGTCCGAATAAACGATCTGAACCACGATCTCAACCGCCGTGTGTGTCTGATTCCTGCCTCAAGTTTCCTTCCATCAACAACCCATTAAAGAAAACACAACGCAGAGTCTAAGGAGCAGCGAGGTGTTATCTCACACGGAAAGGGTTACATAATCAATAGAAGAGTTTAAATGTATCTCACCTGAGAATCTCCAGTTTACAGTTTGGACTCATCAGTCCACTGCACAGCAGCTTCACTCCTGAATCTTTCAGGTCGTTGTTACTCAGGTCCAGATCTCTGAGACTAGATGTTGTTGAGCTGAGCAACGAAGACAGAGCTTCACAGCTTCTCTCTGAGAGGTTACACCCACTCAGTCTGGAAGGACAGAAGGGGTACAAAGTAATTGTCTCATTGTT